GAATGGACTAATAGTGTTTACTGATTGAGATATGACAGTAGCTCCATATTGAAATTTAGAATACTTATTATTATTTGCTTGAAATGCTAAATACAAAAGTATGTGAAAGTGAAAAGGCCTTATTGTTTTTCTGCAACAGTTAATTACTGGCTAGTCCGTGCATTTGGTAAGAGTGTGACGGAGAAAGGGTCAGTAAAGACTGCCAAGGCAGTTTGTGACGCAAAGTTGTGATGACAAGCACGCAGACGTCAGGCACAAGGCCAGGGTAAAGTGCTCAACACACTGTTCTAGAGCACATATCAACAAGTCATTGTGTCCTGGAGTAGCATCTGATACAAGGAACAGACCATTCTTAAGTCACAACAGTTAGAAAAGCAGTTGATATGTTTATTGGAGTCATTTTATGTCATTATTATGGCATGTGCAGCTGATACTTCAGCGAGAAGCCAGTTTGCACGAGAGCCTATAGTGTGGCGAGAGTGTGTTAGAGTGCTGAAATGACAACAATGCTGACATTTCCAGTCTTTGTCATGGTAAATAACAGAGTCTATCCTCTCAGCCACAAAAAGATGAAAACCTCTGGAATCCCTCTCCTTTACCTCAACCAAAAACCAGCTGTGAGGTCAGTGGTGTGGCACTAGGCGGTTAGCACCCACTCGCAGCGTCAATGTAACCACAGTAGATTTCTCCTCTACGACTGTTTCACTCTCATCTTGATACCGCGTTCTTTCTTCCACCCACTCACAAGGAAATCCCCCTCAGCAGTGAGAAAGTAAACGTCAGTATCAGCGAGACTCCCCCACAACACCACCCTCCCTACCACCTTTAATGGTTTGTTCCACAGCGTACATGAGTGTCTCTGCGCAGGCAGTGTGAGCCATCAGCTGTGAAAAAAATATGACAAGCACACCCGCAAGCTCTTGTGCAGGTGCTAAGATGAAAAATGCAAAAGAATAAAATGCACAATTAAAGCACGTAACATCTATTTAATATAATTAGCACTATTTGCATACATTTTCCATGCATGCAGCCATGCAAATCTACAATAACCCTGCTTTCTTTGTGTGCAGTTAAAAAGAAATATAAATGCATATTATAGACCTGCAAGGAATCTGAGCAAGCAGAGAACTCTGTTGATGACCTTCATATTTTTGGCTGATAATATAATAAAATGGAAAATGTAATGGAAAAAAAAAAAAAAAAACTTTGACAAAAATTCAAAACTATAATGAGAAGCTGTATTGGTATAATCAGATAACTCCTAGTTATAATAATTTGACCCTTAAATATGTTTATGTATAAGCATCTGTAGAAAGAGTTAATATATAATCTACAACTGGCGAATCAGCTGCACTTTTATCGCCACTTTCTTTACTGACTCATTTGAGTTTCACTGCTTTTTTACACTCCTACATAGCATTTCTTAGTGGTTTCTCACTGTCTGATTTTGTAATGTTCATGCTGAATTATTTTCATGCATAAGCTATTTGTGCACAAGTTAAGATGGAAGACATTTTAAGATGGATGCACACTGGGGATCTTTAATAAATAATGTCCATAGTGTCATTGATAAAAAATTCATATATATATATATATATATATATATATATATATATATATATATATTATTATACATACAGAATATATTGAAGGCCTATACCTAAATTACGCAGCCTTGCTGTCCCCTGTTTGAGTCTACATATGTGTGTGTGTGTTGTATGGTTCTGCTATCATAGTACTATACTTTACTATGTACATAGTACATAGTACTATTCATGCCGTTAGAAAAAAAAAAGGCTAGAAGAGAAGTGTTACCAATTCCTGCCCGGATCATCTGTTGTGTTGAGCATTTTTTCAGAGCCATGCAGAGAATATTGAAATTCAGCAAACACACTTCTTTAAAAGCTAGTAGCTATGCTTATAGTCTGCATTCGCTTACAAACCGTAGACTGGGTCATAACAGTGGGGGTCTGTGACATGAATGCACCTCAGGAAACATTTATGTTCCATGCAAATAGTTAAATACACCTATAAGTAAAATCCATGGCTATTCAGGTAGCTTTATGGCTCAACTACATCTCAGCCTGACTGAACTAGATCTCAACCTAACACCTATGGGAGCCTTTGGACTGCTGTTTTCGGCAGTACTCTGCACCAGAGATTTGTTGAATCCATGCTATGGTGCACTGAAGCTGGTTTGGTGGCTTGTGGTGGCCTTTATTAAGAAACGTTATTACTTTTTTTTTTAGGAACACCTGTATACTTGTTTATTCATATATCCAATATGCAGCAGTTCCTACTTGTTAATAAGAGAGAGGTCAGAGGACAGTGGCCAGACTGGTTTGAGCTGACAGGAAGGCTACAGTAATTACACTCTTGACAACCATGCTGAACAGAAAAGCATCTCAGAATGCCAAACACGCTACATGTTGAGGTGGATGGGCTACAACAGCCGACGACTAAATCAGGTTCCACTCCTGTCAGCCAAGAACATGTATCTGAGGCTACAGTGGGTTCAGGTTCACCCAAACTGGACAGTCGAAGATTGGAAAAAGACCAGGCGATGTTTAGGCAGTGCATTCCTGCCACATGACATCCACCAAAAATCTGATATATTTTGGAAACTTATATTGTTGGGATTGTATTAAAAAATGTTTTTAGATATTAGTCCACTAGTCAAATTATTTACTTGAACTAATCGTTGATCTTTTTGTTTTGGAGCACATCTTGTTCATTTCATGTCTGGGTCTCTTGTTCATTATGCATCGTCTTCTAGTCTCATTGTTTTGTGTGGCTCCATTATACCTTTGTGAATCCGTGTACACTATCTGAAAATGCAACTGTTATTGTGACTCTAAATATGGATGTTGTGACAGCTGTAACCTGACAAACGGCACAATAAAAATATATATACAATTATTTTTTTGTATTTAAAAATGACAAAAGTTTACTTGGCGATAAAAAAAAGCATGGCTCAGAATCTTTAAAAAATGACAGAATTGTCAGATAAAGCCTTGAATGCTTTGTGCAACTTTTTTTTTTGACATTTCTACACAATTAAGTAAGCACAGGATTAATGTTCATATCTTTTATTACCACTTAATTTGTATGAGATCCAACAAAATCAAACCATTGTTTGTTTGAATGACATCTGGTCCGTCAATCCACTTTCAAAGCTGTGACATTCTGTCTAACCACGCAGATTTCACATTTATTCCTGCATATTTAATAGTTAATTGGTGTTATTCTGAACTGCACGTTTTATGATAATGAAACTTCGAAATGATACAGCACGGCAGTGCACGACCCAGTCCCAGCAGACTGTTCTCTGCCAGACTTTATAAGTCATAGTGAGCCTGGGGCTTTTGTGAGTAACCTTTCAGTCAATGCTCAGGGCTGCCATTACTCCCACCAGATGAGTCCTCTGTGGCCTCTGAACTCATATCCACTTGGTTTTAACATACTGCAGTCTACCTCCTCACTCAGCCCTGAGCACGACATAGTCACGGTCCTCCTCGTCAAGCTAACCGGGTTGAGGTCAGCAAACCGTCTTTGATGTCATCATCAAAATAATGTGAGTTTGTCTGAGCTAGTGTGTGTGTGGTGTGCTGGCCCTAAGCAGTAATGGCTCAATCTGATTCACCTCTTAAAAAGCAACCCGTACTTTTGAAAACATCAGGATTGTGAGGGAAAGGGAGGAAGTAGCCAAAAAAAAATGAATGAGTAAATGAATGAGTACATGAATGAATAAATACCCCAAACTACAGAGTGACTCATGTCAGTTATGATTACACTGACCACCAGCCAACATGTGGAGACCTTGGAATTATATGGTTGTTGACTTTTCTTTTTTTTTTTTTTTTTTTTTTTAATGAGTTAAAGTTGTACACCCAAAAACTTGCTTAAAAGTATAAGACAATATAGTTAAAAAGAAACATCAGATAAAACTTGATTACTCAGTCGGGGGCAGTTGAGGGCAGTCGTGGCCTAATGGTTATCGAGTCGGACTTGGAACCTGAAGGTGAACCTGAAAGTCATGGGTTTGAGTCTCAGGTCTGGCAGGGATTGTAGGTGGGGGGAGTGAATGGTCACCTCAATAACATGCCTCAGGTGAGACCCTTGAGCAAGGCACTAAACCCCCAACTATTCCCCGAGCAAAGAAGGCTGCCCACTGCTCCAGGTGTGTGTGCATGTGTGTGCACTTGGATGGGTTAAATGCAGAGCACAAATTCTGAGTATGGGTCACCTTTCTTGGCTACATGTCACTTCACTAACTAACTAATTATTCCAGACAAGATTGTCTGTGTTATGCATGTTAGAGAAGAAGAAAAAACAAACAAATTACTGCAAACCATATTCACTTTTTAATCTCGTAAGCATACAAATGCATTTTCCTATTCACTGTAAAAATGATTCAGTATGTCAATTAAAACTATTGCAAAATTATTACAAGCAATATCTGTAGAATATCAGCTTTGTTAAATCCAATCATTTATTGTGATATGTTTTCATAAATCGATTTGTTTAAAAGATGCACTTTTACTAAATACCTTTTACTAAATACTACATACCTTTTACTAAAAAAATTGTGGATAGTCTGTGGAAATATGTGTTGATGTGAATTTTTTAAAGAATCTAATGTGGAATATAATGGCTTTACGTGAAGTGAAGCGAAGCGACTTGTGGCCAAGTGTGGTGACCCATACTCGGAATTTGTGCTCTGCATTTAACCCATCCAAGTGTACACACACAGTAGTGAACACACACCCGGAGCAGTGGGCAGCCTTTTTAGCTGCAGCACCCGGGGAGCAGTTGGGGGTTCGGTGCCTTGCTCAAGGGTCTCACTTCAGTCGTGGTATTGAAGGTGGAAGAGAGCGCTGGTCATTCACTCCCCCCACCTACAGTCCCTGCCGGAGCCGAGACTTGAACCCACGACCTTCGGGTTCCAAGTCCGACTCTCGAACCATTAAGCCACGACTGCCCCAAAACAAAGTTTTGACTCCTTCGAGCCGGATTCGAACCAGCGACCTAAGGATCACTGTTTAACCACTACAGTCCTCCGCGCTACCAACTGAGCTAGCAAAGGGCCAGATATGTGCATGAGGTAAGATTAGGTGTTTAGAAAGTTAGGTGGGTTCAATATTTGCATGATTCCTGCCCATGTTCCTGAAGCTCCACCCCCAAGATCTACAGTGGCCCATAGGGTACAGTCTATAAAATGACTGACAGGAGGCACATCCAAATACAAACAAGCATTCTGGACCAGAAGTCAGCTTTCCAAACAAGTTTTCACAGCAACTTAATACACTTTTTCTAAGGCCACAGTTTAATGCATTGTTTTTTGCCATGTTCTACATATCTCTCAGGTTATATGCACCTGTAAATAAAACAAGCATGAAAGGTTTTCATAAAAACCTTACAACCTGACATGAAACTTTTTGTACTTCTGCAAGGTAGTTGCTGTTTTGAGATATTTCTGTTTTGATTAAATATTAGCATGGTGGTGCTGTGGGTAGCGATGCCACTTCACAGCTCCATGTTTGGAGTTTTATATGTCTTGTGGGTTTTCTCACGATTCTCCAGTTTCTTTCCACCTACCAAAAAATATGACTGCAGATTGGCTACTTGAAAATGTCCTTAGGCATTAAGGTGTGTGTAGATGGTGCCGTGCATCCCATCCAGGGTATATTCCCACATCAATCCCAGTGTTCGTGGGATAGGCTCCACCGCTACCCTGACAAGGTTAAAGCAGTTGATGAAAATGACTGAATGAATTAAATGTTAGTAAGTCACACAGTCACCAAACCATCTGTAGTCTAGTACCCACCACCCGGTTGATGAGGAATATTTCAGACGTTATAGAGAATTAATAATTCTTATTAGAAAATAATAACGCATATTAACTTCTGCAGCGTTTCACTGATAAAGTTTTTGCCGATTCTGAATCACTGCACGACACTAACTAAATAGACGTCAGAGAAGGTCAGAGAAGTTTTATGAAACATCTTACGGATATGAATCACAAATATAATCCTCTTTTTATGCACCTGCTCCCCGAAATCCAATTTAGTGCCCAGAAAAAACAAGAGCTCTGACATATTGTAGGGAAGACACAGCAGTTGTGTTTGTAATCCAATCTTAAGTTAAGGGAGGGAAAAAAACAAAGAGAGAGAGGGAGAGAGTTGGGTGGAGGGAGGGCCATGCACACAGGCTCGGTCTACACTGAGTGAGCAAGGAGAGGGAAAAAGAGAGGGAAAAATACGAACGAGTGGGAACGTGCAAAATTAACAGGTACACTCATGTCCACAACAATGGCTCATCTAGGACTTTAAACACTGAAAGCTGGCTTCCTTTCATAATGCTTAGCAACCGGTGATAAAACACTGCTAAAACTGCACCAAATCTATCAACAGTTTTGTTCAAGCGCAGACAGAGAACTGGAACACACATCCTCATATACTCTGTGTGCACAGGTGTGTGGTTTGAACTTTTTTTGTTTTTAATCTTTGCATGATTTTTTAGTATGCCTACACAAGAATCACCACATAAAAGTTCATTTAGCAGGTATAAAGGAGAGTTAGATTAGATTCACAGCTGCATGTTTGCCTTGGCTGACACAAATCAGTAACTATTGGAAGTATTGGTTTCTTTTTTAGTAACGTTTGCTATATATTTTTCATAATCAGAACTTAGTAACTGAGAGATTGGGGTGGTCAAAAGGGCACATTTCTGAGAAGGGGCCTTTGAAAATACAGCGCAAAAAAAAGACAGATGAAGAAAGAGTTTAGTGAGGAGAGCCCTTTCAAATCAGATTTCCCGCTTTAAGTGAAGGGACGTCCCCTTAGACAGCAAATCAAGTGGTCTTACATTTCTCTTTTTCACTCAGTCCATAGCCATCATATGAGCAATAAAGAAAGAAAACACCCAGCAAACAGAGAATGTTAACAGTAGAATACTCAGTAAGTATTCAGCAGGTTCTCAGAAGGCACGACTGTAACATTTCTCATGACATCTGCTGTAATATTGATTAGCTTCACAATATTATTAGAACATTTCTCACACAGCATTCCCAGCTAGACAAAAGCAAACATTATGAAAACATTGCTAAACATGTTGCAGCAATATTGTATGCTATATGCAAAAAAAAAGGTTCTGTTAACCCACAATTGTTCAATACTTGCACACTGCAAAAAATATTTTACAGTCCATTATTAAAGATTGCTTTAGAGTTATTCAATGAAATTTGGTGTAAAGGGGAAATCCGTCCATCCATTCTCTGTATCACTTATCCTACACAAGGTCTCGGGGGAGCCTGTAGCCTATCCCGGGGGACTCGAGGCACAAGGCGGGGAACACCGTGTACGGGGCGCCTGCCCTTCTCAGAAAAGGGGAAATGACTCTTGCTATTTGTTTGCAGCTATCATACAGTATTTGCAAAAAAAAAAAACAAATCCCAGTTGTTTAACCTTATAACCTTACATTTTTGCATAAAAATCAACCTTATTAAAAGTCTCAATAAACTCACAGATAATCCTGGTACTCTCCCCCTGTTGTTTGTTACTATTCATTTAAAATATTAGCTGGCTAATGATGTAAGTTAATTAATGTGATTTGTGAACTTATGCAAAATGAGAGGAGTAATGAAAAAAGGGGCAGAGGGCAAAGACATCATGCACAACTGTGTGGGTGACGAACAGAAGGGTATCAGTGGCATTGTGAGCTTTGAGTGAGCGGCTCAGGGCTGTGTGTGAGTGTGTGTCATTCTGGCTCAGTGAAAGAGCAAATGAGTCACTGCCAGCCCTACAGATGAGTGTTCAGTCCACGGAGCAGTGCCTTTACACCCCACTGTTGTGCTGAACAGATATGCACAGTTCTCCCTGATACTTTCTGTCTATCATAATTTCACTATCTGTAGCTGCAGCTTTCTCACATAGCTCACTGCCGTGCCCTAAAACTGAGCAGTTTCAAGACACGTCAAATTCAAAACATGCAGTTTAACATTACTATGAAATTTTCCCCTCGTTCTGAGGGTTACTTGTTACAGTAATGCAGAGAATTGTGCTGCTATAATTATGAGATTCAATTTTTTTTTTTTTATTTCCACTCATTCAGTTCAGCATCAGCTGGGACTTTCAACAAAAAAAGTTTTTTTTTTTTAAATGATGCATTAGAACAAACTGTAGGTTTATCCATATTATTACACTTCAAGAAATAAACAGATGACATGCATGATTGTCCATGTGCTAGGTTAAGTTCTCTGTATGTTCTGATCACAATGTTAAAGTAACAACTGTCAGGTTTTCTCAGTGTTCAGAGAATGTTTTTTTACATAACATTTATAAACATTCCTACAACATTGCTGCAACATTTTTAGTCGTAGTAATCTTAGGTTACTAGATTAGAATTTTAGAGGAAATATATTTAGCCATATAACCATTTTCAAGCTAGCATATAGCATCAGGAGTGAAAAAGACTAGCATGTAGTGAGTATTGTTAATAGTATTATTTCCCTGCAGTCTTTTTCACTCTCGGAGATTTGCAATCAGCCAAAGCTTGGAAATGCAAGCTCTGTCTCAAAGATCCAAACACACACTATGGCACAGCAGGCCGCTCCATCCAAAGCGTCTGCCGCAGTTAAGAACAGACGTTTATTTCATTCCACCATCTTTAGTGTCTGCGTATCTGTGGGGTGGCCTTTTCACACCTTCGTTCCAGAGAGAAGTAAAAAAGAAGGCTCTCTCACCCACACACACACACATGTACACACACACAGACACCCCATATACACACACAGCACCCATACCCTCCCCCTAAAACAAGAGCCTTTAAGTATCTCCCCCTGACCCCAGATTCAACCTCTTGCCCCCCTGCTAGTGACTCAGCTGTGCAGGTGTGAAAGCTTCATCTCAGAAGCTCTGAGTCTGAGGATCGAACACTCTTCCCACCGGCCTGAGACATACAGCCCTGATAAACCAGGGGGAAAAGCAACACCTGCTTATTTACTTGCTTTGAAAGAAAAGCTGTAGAGCTTGTATGGACATTTTTGGGAAAGAAAAAGCAATGTGCAAATATTTCTCATGCAAATTGTTAAGAAATTCCTACGAAAATATAAAGAATGGTTAAGGTTAGGAAATGGGGTTGTTTTAATAATAATAGCATCAGTTATTACAATTACATGCAAATTATGGAGTAACTACAGTGAGACTAACACGAAAGCTATGTAACTGTCAGAGTTTTAAGTAAGGAGTGTTCTCACATCATTGTGCAATTTAATCACTGGAAAAAATGACATCTTGAATAAAGGGAAAGTTATCTAATATATCTCATTATGATATTGTTATATAACAAAAATAAGAGCAATACGCCTATTTATAGAAAGACTAATTTTAAGGTTAAAATCGACTTATTCTATTGGCAGCTAATTTTGCTTCTTTCTGGGAATAAATGCTTGGAATATGCAAAATTATCTGCCAATTTCAAGCTTGAACTGACTACAATATCTGGAAATATGCTTAATAATCTTGTATTTGTTTAAAAGGAATCTAATAAAGAGAAATGTTAGTTGCATTTATGTATATTCAGGATACTTTTGCAGTGCATGTATGAATGTGTAAATGCATACAGAGAATAAATAAATGCATGTTGTGTATCTGGATCCATCAGCATGTCCTGGGAGTTTAAGGTGTTAAATATTTTCCTAAACTTTCAGAGCTGCGGTTGCATGAGGCCTAGAAATTCTCCAAACATATGCGTAAATTACGCAGCAAATTTGCAACAATCACCAAATTACGAAATAGGAAACATGTATGCATTTCAGTCAGCACCACCACTGACAATATCACTAACTGTCCATAATAATACAAATACATTTTCTGATTGCAACAATTGAAAGGGTTTTTTGTCTTTTTCTTGTTCGACAAACTACCAGTGCAGGGTTATATTACAGACCTTGGTGTCGGTACTCTTCGGCCTTTTTCTGAATGCATTGTATGTGTACTGGAGTTGTTGATTAGCATGGAGGAAATATACCATTAGCATTATCTAATTGCTGTTAGTGACCAAACAGAGACTGCTTTAACACCTTGA